GGGGTGGTGTTTTGGGGTAATTTTTTTTTTTTTTGGTTGGTTGGTTGTTGGGGTTTTTTTTTAGCACAAAGTTGTTCTGATCTCATCCAAAGGAGTATATTCCAGAGGAAAAAGGAGAAGAGCTACACTACCTTATGTCCTTGTTATTCTTGGCTAACAGAGCCAGTTTTCAGTTTATTCAGATCAGCTCTGTGACTCATCTGTTTCTACCTCTTGCTGGCATGGAGATAAAATACTGCACAGAAACAGTGGAAAGACTTCTGGTCCAATAGACTTTGATTTTAGCAAATCTTTAAGTTGCATCCCAACTGGAAATTTACAGTAGCAGATAGGAAGTGTAAATAATAAAAGCATTCTTAAATTAACATTTTATAGATCATATATACAAGTTAGGGAGGACTTGTTAACATGGAGATATTAACAGAAGAGCCATTGTCGTTTGGATTAGCATTCTTATTAGCCTCTTTAGTCATATCTACATTTCTATTTTGAGTACACAGAGTACAAAACTCCCATTAACAGCTAAGGCTGAATTATAACAGATGCTCTACTACAGCCACAAGAAAACCACCAGGAGTTCTATGACCTAACTTTGTCTCATACACACAGTTTTCCTCCTCTAGCCTTGCTCTGTGAGTGCTTGTACAAAGTTAGTGTTGAAAAAGGAGGGAGGAGGGAGGTGATTGTTGTGTAGACTCATGCCCAAGTCCACCCAGCCCCACTGCTGAACATCTTCCTCTGGTTGGATGTAGCAGGCTTCTTGCTTAGGGTCTTACAGAGGCTTTGCAAAATGTTTTACAGTTTACATTCTTCTAAATGATAGTCAGTGGAGAGAACAAAGTCATCACCTGACTTCAGTTCAATAAGTCCAAACTGTCTGTTGCTTCAAGGTATATATGAAGGTATACATCACTGCATAACTCATTTTACTACTGGAGCTTAGCAAAATAATGAATTCCCTGTCAGATTTGTGCTGAGAGCAGACTTTCTTTCGTGGGAAGACATGACATCTATCTAGGAATAAAACCACAGGAGTAGGTTGTTTTCCAAAACTGACTTTGAGAATATCCAAGTTTCAGTCTAAGTCATTTTCTGGAAATACCCTTCTTCCCAATGTGTCTGTAGTGGAATAAAATGGAGTGCCAAAGAAGTCAGTGGTATGGCACACTTTATGCAAAAGGTGAAGTATTTTGGATAACTTGCAGCATGTCCACTGAAGGAAAAGGGAAGTCAGTATTATAATGCCACCTGGAGGAGAAGGAAACATTTTGATAAAAACTATAAACCTGTGGGTCCTGAAAAAAATTGAAGGTCGAGATCAGGCAAATGACCACACATCAGTCTAGTTTGACTGGAAATTGATCATTATTGCCATTATCAAATCCATAAAAATCTGCAATTTGTATGAAAAAGGGGTTCTAACCTGTCTGGATTTGCTTATAAAAACAAAGCCACAATCAAAATGTGAGAGATTGGTTAGGATTCCAGGCAGTCAATACCGTTCCAAAGAAACTTCTGGGGATTTAGAATAATCAAATTGCCTGTCTGGGTAGGATGTTCATTATGATTTGTGCTACACCCACTCTAACCTACTGCTGTTACTTTCTTCCACCTCCCTAAGGAAGTAAGTAATTACTAACCAATAAAGTTTACAATGGCACAAAGCTTAGCGTGACAGCTTGACCCATGAAAATCAGGTCTTTCCCTCAGCTCTGGTCGTGCCATGGTATCATTCTTCATGTCTAGACTGACTTCAGAGTTGAGACTTCAAAGCCATGGCAGTGCTTGAAAGGCAAGACTGTGCTGGAATCAGTGTTTCACTGCATCGGAGGTATAACTCAGCTCCATTAATTTATGGTATGCTGGCAGAGCACTGAAAATATTTTCTCAGAAAGAAAATGGAAGAAAACTTCCTCCTACTACATCTTCCATCACTCTTTTTCCTAAAGGTCCTTTCCAACACTGTGTTATATCATGTAGCATCTTCCAGGAATCTCAAAAAATGCAAAGCCTCTGACACCCAACAAGAACAGTAAAAACCACAGTCCAAGCCCATTTCAAATCCTTGCCTGACTGCTGTCTGATTTACATGTCTCATTTTAACAGTGCAAAAATCATTACTGGTGGCATTTTTCCCACCGAAATAATAATTTGGGAGTCTTAATCAGTTTTACATTAATAAGTATAGGGATTATGCTCAAGAAGAACTATGAATATAATTCTTTTTCAGCCAGGACAGCTGAATCAGCTGAAAAATGAAACAAAATGTAAAGCTAGTTTTGAAGAAAAATTTAAAAAAACCACAAATAGGAAAAGGATACTTTTTTAAGTATGAAAGTGTCATATATGTCGATGCACTGAAGAGAGTATGAGAGACTGTCGCCATATTAACACTGTTGGTGATGCATGCACACTCTGCATCATCTTTTGTGCCCTCCCCCCATTCCCCATCACAAACTCAGATTGTGTCTGTATCTAATTCTTTGTCAATATAGAATTCTTTGATTTTTTTGAAAGATCCATCCAATGAATTTCATACAAGTTTAAAAAGTCTTATAGTTGCAGTTTTAACTTAAAAGTATTCTGTTTGTAAAAGCTCATTTGGATTCAATGTGAGCTATGGGTAATTATTTAAAGTTCAATATGTCTTTTTTTTTTTTTTTCCTTCTCCAGAATCTGTCACTGTTTCTATATTTAGAAACATTTTTTTTAAACCTGAAAGGACTGGAAAATGTGGATCCTATTTACTCATGACTTTGACATTCAACAGAGTAAAAATACAACTCTAACTAAATGCAAATTTTCAGTTACTTGTTATTCAAGCTCTCCTTTCTAGTTTATTTAGTGAATTATTTTTGAGCGGAAAAACATTTTCAAGAGAATTTAAGAGTTTGATTACAAAAGGAGTGATCTTCAACTGCCTTATGTGGTTAACACTGTAGATATTTTTCTTCCATATTAACCTCTATTAACAAAGCCTTTGGCACAGAAACAGAAAATGTCTATTCCACATTATATTAACATCTAAAACAGCGGTTGTTTTGCATTAGGAAAGTTTTAAATACAAATCTTACTTTAAATGGAGTTAAGTTCCTCATACACATAATTTGCAACTTGTGTCAATATAACTGAACATCTTTGTCTTAGAGCACACAATCTCTCAGTGACTATTCAAGTTGTGTACTTAAATATTTCTTGGCCATTTGGAAGAGTTTTATGGGCTTTCACTAAAAGACTCCTAGTACTCTAAGACAGAGTTGTAATTGAAACCCAGACTCCCTGTTCCCTCAAGACTTTCTGAAAATGTCACCCCAGACCTATTCGGACCCTGTAAGAGAATAATGGGAAAATAAAAATAATGATTTCCTGTGACAATTGCTGAGAAATTTATCCAAGTAATTTCATAACATCAAGAGAAAATGTGGTACATGAGAAAAACATTATTGTATTGGGTAAACAAGGTCAGTCTCTGTTAAATTACTTAATTCTAAGTGAGGCAAGTGGGGAAGACCAAGTTCAGGACTCGGGTTTTTTTATGTGTTCACACTCTGCAGCTACTCTATGGCTGATGAAGCAGTAGTGACTCTGACACTATTGACTTATTGCCACAGAGAAGGCAACAACTTGCATTCTGAGAAGAAGCAGCAATTGAAATGCACACACCGATTCCAAAAGAATGCCAAACCCACTCAGACTTAATCTCTATCCACAAACATCTTTTGACTTTATTTTTTTTTTATTTGTGGAGAGGTGCGATCTGAGCACACAGCTCTGCTGGGTAGTGCTGAGTTCTTTTCACAACTGGCCTATTAGGTCCCTATGTATTTTTGGGTAGGTCACTTAACCTCATGTCTCTTTGTGTTTAAAATAGAGCTATGAATACTTGACTCAGAGAGGTATTACTGAAGCAAAAAACTTAAAAAGGACTACATACTATGCTGTCATTTTCAGACTTTCCACTCCTTTTGTGATTATTTTTGGCAACAATTATTGGATCAGTTATCCAGGTGGCTTTAGGAGCAACTAAAGAGAAGCTGTAACTCTGTAAAATTATGAACTCAATTCTTCCTGTCTGCATTTGAAACAAACAGTTAGTCTGCCTCCGAGGAAAGGAGAGTTTTCTAATTGTACATTATACTATCTCAATGAATGGGGAATAGGTTTGAAACATAGGATACTTACGCTTTCTTTCCACAGATGGCTCCCTGGTACCAGTTTCTGCAGGTGCTGAAGTATTTCTTTTTTGTTCCCATAACTTGCTGAAGGGCACAGACATTTGGACTGTGGGTAAGAGTGAGAAACATTTTTAAAAGAAGTTTCTGTACACGTTTGGAAAAGTTTTATATAAAGTAGCAGCAAATACATTTTCTGTTGAGCGAGAGTAAGAAATGAACATCTGGCTTCAGTTCCCAGGGCAGGTGTGTTTTCAAGCAACCACAGTGCAAGCTCCTGGGACTGCCCAGCTGGGTTCCATGGCAAGCCCACCCTCCCAGCAGGGACAGAAGATTCCCCTCCATTCTAGTTTGACCTTCTGTCTCCGATGGGCAGCAATTGCCAGCTGTGCCTACTCAAGTCTCAATATGCCTAACATTTCTCCCTTCCCCCTGCAAAGTGAATTAATTACGAGCCACCAGGGACCAAGCTGTGAATACCATCAGGCTCTTTTCATTAAAGTTTTTGTCTTGTACACATCTGTGCAGCTGAAGGTCATGGGGAGATGGGGAAGAAAAGTGCCTTGTTCCTTATGTAGAAGGAAACCCTGTCCTCTGTAAATCAATCAGCTATTTTGATTACCAGCCATTTGGAGTACCGCAGGCACCTAAGTAAACATTCTGGGAATTACTGGGGACCAAAGGGTAAATTGGCATGTAAATAAAAGGAGTCACAGATTTCAAATGAGGAATACTTTTTCCTTAGCATGGTAGTGTACAGAAAAGGAATTTCTTGAGGGCAAATTCCATAGAGCAAAAGCATTTTGTCACTATTTTTATACTTATACAATTAAAAAAATAATGAGCTCAAAGTTTAGAACATATATTTTACAAGAGTGGGAAGTCAGTGAACTTTTTTATTTAAAAAGCTCAGGGAGCGTGTGTGTATGTGTATAGCAGGCTGAAGGAATTCAACAAAGGAAGATAGGATGGTAAAAAATTCTTATTCACAGAACGTTTTTTACTTAAGAAGACTGAAGGGAAATATGTTTAGACACATGTGTCTTGCTGACACCAACTGTTCAACTTATTTCCATGTCTCTGAGCAGCCTGGCTTGTAAGCATTGTCTTTTGGGTACCCTGCCGAGCAGCTTGCTGCATTGCTCCAGTGGGAACAGAAATTTTACAAAGGGCTCCCAGTATATAATCCCATGTTAGAAAACATTTAAATAGAGTTCATGATTTTCATTAGGATGGAATAAAGAGAGCAAATGCTGTGGAATAGGTGTCAACTCTATTCAAACATTTGAAAACACATATTAAACATATCTGATGTCCAACTAAATTAATTGTGAACTGTAATTAACTTCAGTGATTCTAAACCACATGCATTTTATTCATTGAGCAGGGTGATTTTAGATCCACATTTTATGAAGTTTAACAGTATTCTGTCTCCTTTTGAAACATCCCAGAAAGCTTTTTGTTTACGAACAATTCTTGTAAAATTAATTGAGAAAGTTCTACTTGAATGATAATAAGAATTTATAGTGAAAAATCATATTTAATATAATGCAAGAAGAAAGAGGAGAATAAAGATTAACAAGTACCCTTTTAAAATAGAAATAAAGCCCAGTTACTTACCCTTGGTCGCGTGCCCTTATTCGACTATGAGTTAAAATCTTGTCATAGTGAGCAGAAGCAGCCGCTTGTTCAAAAGCAGACAACAAAAAAATGGAAAAGGTGACTAAGAAAAAGATCTTCATCTTTAGTCCTCTGTTGCTTCTGGCAAGTCTAGAAGAGAGAACTGGCAAAGGGTCTGGAGAGCTGACAATTTATATACATGCTGGAAGGTGGTGGGAGGGAACCACAGGATCAACCTGAAACTTCGTACCACCCTCCTTAGAACAGCAGCTTTTGCTGCCAGCTTCAGTAACCTAAATTAGTACCATACATTAACCATACAAACCATTTTTTTTAAATCCCCAATTGACTAATTTCTTCCTTATTACAACAGGCTTAGCATTTTATTCTGCTGACACAACAGCAGAGAAAGTTTGAGAAGTTTAGACGTTGACTTATGATTTGGTATTTATAGCACTGAAGCATCCAAAGGTCATGATCATTGCGTGTGGTTTTGTTCAAACCCAGAGGAAGATGTTGTCTGTTCCCATAAGAACTGCACTGCTTTTCTTTGTTTTCCATGTCCTTACGGTTATCAGCTATGAGCTGTTTATCTAGTGAAGTTGATGAAAGTTCCAAACAATACTGTTGTCAGTAACGTGGAATAGCATTTTTGTCTTGAGAAAAAAAAGCTGTATTGATACACATTCTGATTATGAAGTAGTTACACAATCAAATGCAGTATTAGCTTAAATATTCATTTTAATTCTAATAATAATGCTTTTATTTAGAGCTTTATGTAATCATATAAAAATCACTGAGTATCTGAAAATTTGAATATATACCTTTGTATACTTATTAGTGAGTCCTTGGGAGCCTCTTGTGAAGTAAATGGAAAATGTAATTTTGAGCTGTAAATGAGAGAACTGAGGCAGAACAGTGAAGTGACAGGCTCAAGCCTCTACTGAAGTGACAGTCTTAAGGCTCCAGGGACAGTTGGTGTTTGGACTGCAATCCGGCACTTTGTAATTTTCATGTCAAGAAAAAAGTTCTGCTATTTATATAGAAGTATTTGCATGTGAATACAATTTCAAGGTATAGTCTATAGATAACTTCAAATCTTATGAGGGTAAGGTCAGTTCGTATGACAGTACTTTCCTGTAGTTTCTTCCTCCAAACTGGAGCAAGTAGTGACATGAATAACTGGAAATGGATGCAGTATTGGACAGACATACCTGGGACCGATCTCCTATTATAGAACAGAGACAAATGGGGCAAAGAGCAGTGAGCAGAAACAATGACTACTTCCTATATATCATTATAGGTAAAGGTTATAACTAGGCATAGGTATATAGACATTTGATGATGAGGATCATGCCTTACAAAACCATAGCACTTAATGGTTTCTAAGGTTAAGAGCAAGGTCATTTGGTTAAACGGTAGGGGGACTTTATTTCTACTGTGACCTGCTCTCATCCTACCCACAAATGACTCGAGATAGCTCATGGAGGTATCAGAATCTCTAGACTCGCTGTGTATGAACTCAGTAAAATTTCACGCCTGAAACCATCACTGTCTGATCAGCTGATGGAGGTCACAGGTCAACTCTGTGATGCAATATTAAAATTTTAAGAGAATGTCACTGCTGTGCTCCCTCTATTCCTCTCAGAGCTTTTTATCTCTTTCTGGTCTTTGCAGAAGAAATACAATGAGAAATATCACCTCTTAGATGTCTAGCTACGACATTTCAAGTTGCTAATTGACCTCAGTTGATTACCCTTTGCAGTTCTCATTCTACAGATGAAAAAATTAGAAGATACTCTATTAAAGTAACTTGACAAACTTCTGAAAGTCCCAGAAATGTCCCAGTAATCTGTCTTCTCAGGAGTGCCTACCTCCTGAGTCTCTCAACTCTCAGCCTAGCTCATGCTCCTCTCTTCCACACTTAATATGCAGAATCAAAAAATGAGTAGACACTAATGCTTCTGCATGCACTGAACTCCTGTTGTTTACAGAGCTATCCACCAAAGTTAAAGAAGGACCAATTTGAACAGGGCAAGCATTTTTATTTCCAGATTTTTCCAGCTTTCTCTTTAGTGACCCAGTCTTAAATTTCACAGAGCTCCATTTGTTAATGTGAGTGCCCACGTAGACTAGACTAATTCTTAAACTGGTAATTCTTATTAATAACAGCTTACCCTTCACTGTTTCTACTTGTCTTTGATTCTGATAGGTGCTGGGCATAATGGGAACAAATAGTGATTCTACAACCATTCATCTTCCCACTTCCATACATTAATGTTATGACTCTTCCCTTTCTACTTCAGAGGTATAGAAGAAAAGGTCTGAAGGATTGTTACATGTCAAACATATAACAGAAGTACAGAAAATTGTGATGAAGAAATATGCAAATATGAAGTCATATTAATTAACCAAATTAAAGGATAATCAACATTAAACCTCATATGGAAAGCGCAAAAACTTGTAATTTGAAAACTTCTGGTAAAAAAACCCAAACAACAAAATGACAGAAAGCATCAAGAAGAAAAAACAGTCCAACTACATGAACCCTATTCCTCATTTATATTTATGTTAGCCCAAATATAAAAACAAATAATTAAGCCATGTATGTGAATTATTATTGTAGTAAAAGGACTTTTCATTATTCACATCAGAAGATGCATATCCAAAGAAATACCTGGAACAGGTATAGAACAAATGCTGATTTTCATCTTCCACGAAATGTAAATAGTGTCAGGAAGAAAAGTCTAAGGTATCTGCTGTACTGAATTGTTTCTTGTATTTCTCTAGAGACCTCTAGTGGAGAGAACGCTGTAAAAGTAATTTTCTCAAAGCTGCATGAGTGTTTACACTAGTAAACACATTAGTGTTTACACTAAGGATTTATCATATGATAAAGCAATTTTTTTTTTTATTATTCCTAAAGAGGATTATTTTCATTATATGATGCAAGAATCCTTGCATTCAAATATTTAGCGGTTTGACTAAGTGCCTTTATATCAGATTGAAGTATAGAAACATCTATCTATTCATCACTTGTGGTTAATTCTGATGATGTGCAGAAATTTAACAAATAAGAATGGAAGGAAATGAAAGGTTTTCGAACATTCCCTTCCCTGTTAAAACCTGTAGAAGTTTCAGATCATTTGCAAAGCATGTCACATGTTATATATATTCTGCTTCATTATTTTGTAACTACTTCATGTGTTTACTTTTTGTTTTGTGAGTGTGCATGCTCAGTTGAAAGAGCAAATGGGTAAAAACTTTTTGAGATGAATAGAGAGGCTCCCTCTATCTTGCAGTTTTTGCTTGAATCCTTAGGTTTCCTTGGCAACTTTGATTCAGCAAATTTGGGCTTTTTGTCATTAACTTCACTTAGATCAGCAATTTGCATCTGGAGTAATATTCAGTGTGTCTTCTTAAAAACTTGT